CAAATATATATATATATATATTTGTGTGACAAGCAACACCTGCTGAAATTTTATTTATTTATTGACCTACTTTATTTACATCCTGCTTTTCTCCCAAGGCAGCTTTCCTTAACATGTTCAAAATGTTTCCAAAAAAGCTCCAGACAAATTTTTTTAAAAACACCACATTAAAAACACTACAAAACTGTCTCAAAAAAACAAACATACAAAAGTTAAACCCAAGATAAAACATCTACCTCTTCTACACAAGCATGAAAGGTACAGGTGCTCTTGAACAGGTTTGTGCATTTCATAGCAGTGTATTTAAGTGTTTTGAAAGTCTAATAGAAGATTTTAATTCCATTTTTTATTTTACTTTGCAGGGTAATTTTTTGCAAGATGAATTCATTCAGTCCCATATTAAAACAATTAATCATTCTCAGGGAGGCTTGATATCTGGGTGTGTTGTGTACTGTGTTTATGTACGTTTTTAACTTTTGTATTTTGGGTTGTTTTTAATTTTTACTTTTTTGGGTTTTTTAAATCTATAATGGGGCTTTCTTAGCAAGAGTTGCTCAGAAGAGACTTGCCACTGCCTTCCCGAGGCTGAGAGAGTGTGCCTCAACCAAAGAGTGGGTTTCATGGCCGAGATGCGAATCGAACTCGGGTCTCCGGAATTGAAGTCCAACACTCAAACCGCTACGCCACCCTGGCTTTCATATATAAATAATAATAATAATAATAATAATAATAATAATAATAATAATAATAATAATTCAAATATTTTTAAACTTTTACTGGGAGGCTTTTGAGATTTTTTTAATAATAAATCAATGATTTTAATTGTTTTTAAACTTTTACTGCGAGGCTTCTGAGATGTTTTTTAAAATAATAAATGGATTATTTTAACTATTTTTAAACTTTTACTGTGAGGCTTTTTGAGATTTTTTTATTATAATAAACAGATGATTTTAATGGTTCTTAAACTTTTACTGTGAGTTTACTGAGATGTTTTTAAAAATAATAAATAGATTATTTTAACTATTTTTAAACTTTTACCGTGAGGCTTTTGAGATGCTTTTTTAAAATAATAAATAGATTATTTTAACTACTTTTAAACTTTTACAGTGAGGTTCTTGAGATATTTTTATGATCATAAATACATGATTTTAATTGTTTTTGAACTTTTATTGTGAGGCTGCTGCTAATTTTTTATTTTATAAACAAATGATTTTAATTGTTTTTAAACTTTTACTGTGAGGTTCTTGAGATTTTTTTTATTATAATAAATAGATGTTTTTAATTGTTTTTAAACTTTTACTGTGAGCCTTTTGAGATGTTTTTTAAAATAATAAATAGATTATTTTAACAATTTTTAAACTTTTACTGTGACACTTTTGAGATGTTTTTAAAATAATAAATAATTATTTTAACTATTTTTAAACTTTTGCCGTGAGGTTCTTGATTATTTTTTTATTTTATAAACAGATGGTTTTAATTGTTTTTAAACTTTTACTGTGAAGTTCTTGAGTTTTTTATGATAATATATAGATGGTTTTAATAATAATAATTATAATAATAATATATTGTAACAATAATAATAATATTAATAATATTAATAATAATTAATAATATTAATAATGATGATGATGATGATGATGATAATAATAATAATAATAATAATAATAATAATAATAATAATAATAATAATAATATTGTTTTTATGACTCCCAGGTCTGCAGAACAGTGCAACCACCAAATGGGCCCGTCTTCACGCGTGTCAACCCTGACGCGTGTCAGCGTTCACACGTGACGCAGGACCAGCCTACTATCATAACGATAACAGCAGCAGCAACAATAGTGTTCTTCTGACCCTCAGGTCTGCAGACCAGCGTTACCTCTCCCCTCCCCAGCGGTCCCGCCTCCACGCGTGTCAACCTCGACGCGTGTCAGCGTTCACACGTGACGTCGTCGTCAGCCCTGCCTCACCTTGACGCGGTGGAGGGCGAGGTCTCCCCCGGGGGGCGGCAGCTGGCCCCACACGGAGACGCCGTCCCGCCCGTAGCGCCTCAGCCAGCCCAGCTCCGCCTCGCACTCGGCCTGGAAGGCTCGGAAGGCGGCCTCGTCCGGAAGCCGCACCGGCTCCATCTTTCGCCTCAGGAACGAACGGCCGGCCGGCCTGCCTGCGTGGCTGCGCACTTGGCGTAACGGCCCAGCCCCGGCGACGCACCGCCGACGTAACGGCCTTCGAGAATGGTACTAACAGTCTCCC